GGGCAGGAAGGTGCTTCCAGCTGGGCCCATCACTTGGGAGTTGCTGGTCACGGTGAGCGGCATCCTCAGGTTGCTGGTGTGTTCTGCCTGCCGCAGGTAGTGCGGGGCACCTGGCAGGGACTGGGACATGACTGAGTTTGACAGGGGGTGCATCATGCTACCGTCACTAGTGCTGTGGGACGTGTCCCTGTCGTCCGCCTCGTGCATCTCCGTCTCCGGAGACGAGTCGTTGACCTCGATCTGTACTGGACCTCCGTCGCCTTGTTGCCCGTCGCCGCTCACCTCTCGGCTGAACACCGGCAGGTACGGCTGCTGCTCCGAGGCGTCCGGCTCGGTACTGATGGAGGAGCTGACCCCTGAGTCAAAACTTTCGACCTTGGATTCGCACTCCACGCCCTCGGTGTGGTCGGCGTCCTCTTGGCAATCCCCAGAGTTGGCGCAGCAGGTGTAGTCGTCTTCGGCCTCCTGCTTTATGTGCATCCCTTCTGTTTGTATGCGTACCGGTCGGGGCTGCTTGCGGCAGTGAGTGGACTCTGCTGTGGAGTTGAAGCGGTCGACCGGCTGAGACCTGATCCTCCAGGGCGGATCTTGAGACTGCTGGTCCTTCTGAGTGCTGAGAGCTGAATCGTAATTTGTCGACAGCGGGTTAAGGTACAGGGGGCGCTCGCGGGTGCCGTTCTGCAGAGACAGGCCGGGGTAGGTGTACAGTGACGTGTAGGCTCGATCCATGCTTTGCTGTGATGATACTTGCATATAGCCTGACTCCGCATCACTGCTGGGTCCAGAGGTGCCGGACTCCGGGGTCCCACGAGGGGTCTCCTGACCAGAGTCCCCTGGTATGATGGGAAACCCCCCCTGCCCGGTCAGGCCCACGTTCTGGGAGACGATGCGAGTGCACTCATCAATGACGGTCTTGATCTGTAGGATGCTGGCAGCAGTGAGGATCTGCAGGGCCTCGGATTGAGAAACCCGCAGGATCCCGCTGTACATAAAGTCAATCAGCTTTTGGATGGATTGCACTGAGACCACCGACGGGATCTCGATGTCGCTGTAGCCCAAGAGCAGCTTGTCCTGAAAGAATGGGCTCCCAGCGGCCAGCACGCAACGATGAGCTCGCAGCATACTTCCATGGATCCGAACAGTCACGTCACAGAAGTGCCCACGGTTGCGTTGCTCATTGAGGGTCTCAAGTACAGAATTGCTGAAGTTGTGGAGGTTGATGTTATGAATGCGCTCGGTCATCCCCTTGCAACTGATGTCACCTGCGGTGGAGAAGGATGGGGATCAGAAAATTCAAACTGAAAACAAAACATGTTCACAAATTTTAATTCCTCTTCCAAAAGAAAAAAAAGTTGCCACATTTGGTGCATCGGTGTTGTTTCAGAAGCTAATATTGGGATTTTGTTTCAGCATTTTTTATCTTCCCCAGGAACTTGATACATTTTTGACCGTGTCGACATCTAATATTCCTGCTCCGCTGGCCGATCTGCGGTCCAGATCTGTCTCCTCGAACAGCGAGAAAATCTAAATTCCCGCTCCGAAACTCCATCATCCCGCGCCCTCCTCTTCCACCTGAGTATTTTTTTTCTTTTTCCATTTTTCTTTGCCAGAAAATAACGATTCACTCCAGTAGAGATTTTAATTTTGAATTTCATTTTCAGAAAATGTACCATTTACCATTTTTCTTTTGCAAACAGCCTTTGTATATGCACCCCCCCCCTCCAAAAAAAAAGACCCAATGGCAGAAACTATAATTAACTCAAATATAAGCCTGTGATTAGTACCAGTGGTGCTTACTACGAACAAATCACAACAGAATCCCTGCGTGAACTCACTCAATCCCCCACCAGGGGATGCCTACCACCATTCTACAGATATTGAAATTTGAAACCACGTGAAGCAGAGATGGGAAATAATTTCAACGTCTGATCTAAATTTATCTCCATAATCATAGTGTGAACATTCAACATCACCACAGTGAAAGACAATTAAGACGGGTCCCACTTAATTACTACATTTTTTTTGTCTCATACAGTTCCACTGTGTGTATGTGTGTGTGTGCATTTTTCTGAAATTCCTCTCATCGCCATTAGGTGGTGCCCTGGGCTCAGAGGACGGCAGTCTTTTCTTTTGTTAGCCATGTGTTCACCGTGATGGTGCTTCCAAACTATCCTTGGAACACAGTGATCAGTGTGACCCGGCTGATCAGCGTGTGAGACAACTTAAGAGGATTTTCTTCACCGCTCCGCGTCAAAAGAAATTAAAATGTGAAATTCAATTAGACAAAGATTAAATATAGGAATTAAGACCCTCCCCCCCCCAAAAAAAGGATTTCTACATTTATTTTTTGGATAAGAAGCTGTTGAGGGAATTTTTTTTATTTTTTTTTAGGACGAAGTACGACTGAATTTAAGTCAGAAAATCAGCAGATAAAAACGCAGCGTTATATTCACTTATATTGTATCTAAACAGAACACATATGCACATATTTAAATATATTTTTATATATTTCGTACACGTGCAATTCTGCAACTGCCTCGCAGGGAAAAAAAAAATCATTTTTATAGACCCCCATTTTGTGATCACAAAGTTTGACATCGTTACATTTAATTTGAGGGAATTTTTTTTATAAAAAAATTAAAAACCAAAAAAAAAAAAAATGAGCTGAATGTTTCCCGTACTCACAGTCAGATGACGTTCTGTTATGAAGATGCTTGTGTGGCTGGTGATGAACTGCGGGTCAAGCTTCAGTTTGCTGGTGGAGCGGGATGATCATGGGCCGGGATACCAGGATACCAGGATACCAGGATACCAGGATACCAGGATACCAGGATACCAGGCCGTCAGTCCTCTCTGCCCAAAGCCTGTGTTCTGCTCTGCCACAGTGTTTGGATGGGGAGAGAGAAAAGACAAAGACAAATCTTAATGCAATATATGCCTCGTCAATATTGCCACTCCCTTAATGAACCAGGAACCACAGTAACGAGCGTATGTGCCAGCGACACGCTGCAACAGATGTGTGAAGACTTTTTTTTTTTCTTCTCCCTCTTTCTCCCCTCCTCTCTTTTTTAATAAGGAGCCGAGCGAGGACCGTCCTGCGTGGACGCGACCATCAGTTTACATGTCAAGGTTAAAAAATAAGCAGCCGTCTCGCGGGCACCTCTTTTCTTAAAGAGTTATCTGAGCTGCTGTGTGACAGAAAAACCACACCCTTCCACAGAAACCGACTCCACACAGAGGGAAATGTTTGAGAAAAAGGCTTTTTTTTTTTTTTTTTTTTTTTGAACAGACTCAGCCCCGCTCTGGAACAGGGGGAGGTTTTCAACATGACAACGGCCCGGCGACATAAGGAGATATTAAACACACAAGGCGTCCATTTAGGGAGAGATAAAAAAAGGCATTTACTGACATTAGGGCATGTGACGAGATGACAATCCCTCCCAGTCGCTCTTTACACACACACACACACACACACATGTATTACTATGCAAACGGCTGACCTCAAAACTGAAAACACAATTATGTAACGCACGCTCTCACTGAGTCATTTAAGGTCACGCAGACAGAAAACATGGACAGAACCAGTGTCTGTGGAGCCGCCCAATAATAATAATAATAAAAAAATAAATAAATAAAAGTCTCACGTATGTCCTGCACAAGTCGCGTCGGCCTTCATTGTCTCCAGGAGGCGCCAAATATGTCATTATTTCAAATGTAAATGTTTGTGAGCGTGGACAAAAGTCAGGAGGAGAAAAACCAAGTGGAGCAGGAATATTGAAACAATGTGGAGAAAAAAAATTTAAAAAAAAATACCCGAGGGCCGAGCGCTCTTCCCGTCACACTGTGATACTGTGTCGTACAAAACGCAATGGATTTTTTTTAACATGTGTATTTTGTGCAACACAAATGGAGCCGTTTGTTTAGTGCAAAAAAATCTGCTTCAGCCTCGCGTCGCTTCTCAGCCAAAATTCTCTCTCTCTCTCTTTCTCTCTCTCTCAAAAAGAAAAAGAAAAATTTCAACATTTGTGAGTCGATGAAGACGGAGAGAATCTTCACAAACTAAACCTCAGGCCAGAAATAGACGGAGCTGACCGACCGCGATCGGAGGAATTCGGAACAATCAGTTGGAACGTCAACGTAGTCGGAAATATCAACACATTAAAACATTGGAGTTTGACTGATTATACATCAACAAAGCTGCAACGTTAGCACGAACAGACGATGGAAAATACAGCAAACACCAGAGTGAAGTAAAAACAGGACATATTTGAAGTATTACTACTGACCTACACTTTCACAAATACAAGAGAAATCATCGAGAAAATTCTTAACCTGTTGATGAAATCGTTTTATGTCAAAAACAAAAAAAAAAGCTTTCTTAAAAACACACACCTCCCTAAAAGTTAGCCCTTGCTAAATATTAGCTGTGAGTTCTAATAAAAACGTCCACCGTAAAAAAAATCAATAATTCAAGAGAGGAAAGTTACCGGCCACAAAAAAGCCTGTCAGTGTACCACGTTTGGTCCCTGGGCCCAACTTTGGACACGCCTGAAAAGCTGGCAAAAACACATGTAAATGAAGATGGAACTTTTTTAAATTTTACCAGAGGGGGTAAAGAGCCGAGAGAGAGGGAGGGAGGGGGCTACCTGAGATGGGGGGGTCTGAACAAACACAAAGGGCGGGGACCCCGAGGAGGTCGGATCTTTATTGTCGAGGCCCAAATTTCAAAGAACAAAAAAAAACTCCCACGGAGTCTGGAAAACAGCCGGTGGAAATGAAGTGACTTTAGGTTTGACCTGAGAATTCTCTGTCCTCACCAACAACAGCCGGGACCTGGGACCGCAGGCCTGTGTTTGAGAACCCCAGTTGACATGTGCCTGTGTCGACCAGGACGGTTCTGACTCCGCCGAGACAAGTGAATGCATGTCTCCAGAGCGGCAAACATTCAGAGAGAAACAGATCCTTGTATGGAGGGAACACACACACACACACACACACACACACACACACACATGCTTGTTTGCTCCTCTCCCTCATTCACATCAAACTCCTTCATCCTTTAAATCTGACATTTGAACAAAACGAAACAGAACGAAAACAAAACTTTTTTTTCATTTTTATGAGAATTTAATTCTAACAGCGTTGATCTCTCTCTCTCCCTATATATATGTACGTATATATTTACATACATATATGTATATATATATGTAAATCTAGATGGACACCTATCCTGAACAGACCGACCAATCAGGAGCCGGGGGAACTTGCCTTGACTTCACCACAATTTGCAGCCAAGGTAAATATGGCGGCAGGAGACGTTAAAATGTTTAAACAAAAAAAACAAAAAAAACAAAACAAAAAAAAAAAAAGCCCCGTGTCTGTGGTGAGAATCGGTTCCAGTACCGATACGTTACACTTACGCAAATATTTGCTCCTTCTTATGCCTGCGAGACACGAGCGTTCTGGTTGTGTCTGTTTGTCAGTTGCTGTATGAAAACGTTGCATCACTGCCTGTACTCCTGTATGCCAACAGGGGGAGGGGTGAGGAGGGGGGAG